AGTTTGCCGCGTTCATGTTGTAAGCATGGCTTTTTGAGTGACTTAAATAGAGATCTAACATCTGGCTCTGGGTTCTGGTCGTAGTTCCTTAGTGCTACTGTAGCAGAAATACCGCAAGTGGATGGTTTTACAAAGCAAATGTATTCTCCCACTGTTTAGGAGGATGGAAGTCTGAATTCACAGTACTGGATGCAGGGAAAGGCTTCCCTCTTATGTTGGCTTACAGTTTGAGAGGAAGAGTCCTTGTCTCCTTTCAGCATCTCTAAGCATACAATTCCTTGGAGGTCTCCAAGTGTCCTGGCATCAATCTTACCCTGGATCTAGGGATTTCCTCTTGATCTACAGAACACACTTACTCCCTTCTTTCTTGGTGGTAGTGGATCCCTTGCTCTCTGCTCACGCGTTGCAGGTTACATCTCCAAGGACACTCCCCTTATATTGATTAAGGTTGTGATAAGATTAGTGATGGTGCATTCCATTCTCTAACCTTTCGCAACTGAGTTATCATTTAAGGGAGGGGGTTTATGTCATTACATAACTCCATATCTGCCACATTATAATATCCCATGGCTGTCAAGCTACTGAAAATCCTGGTTCAGACAGACTGGCGCGCGCGCGTGTGTGTGTGTGTGTGTGTGTGTGTGTGTGTGTGTGTGTTGTTGAGGAGGGGAGACACGGTTCCATCCATGCCAGTGCACATAGTCTAAATGAGGCAGCATGAACCCAAATGACACACTTCTTTAGGACTATTTAAAATAAAGTGTGAAATGTTCCAATGAAGACATCAGGTGTGTTAAGGATTCAGGGAAGGAATAGATGGGGAAATCTTCACAGATAACACTTCAAAGTCTAAGTTTATGTGCACCAGGCACCATGAGTGGTTTTGGAGAGTGTGGTAATTAAGATATATGATAATAAACAAACATGATCAATGGTACCTTTTCTTTGATGGTAGAATATGGCGAGCCTGAGGGGACCACCACCCACCATGTACACAGATCTCTATAGAGTGTCTCTCACCCTCACTGCTCTCGAAGCCACTGCGGAGCCCCCTGCAGATGCAGGCTCTGTGCTCTGCCACTCTTGCTCACACGCAGCCTGTGTCGCTCATGGATTCGTCTGACAGCCAGTAAAAGCTTTATTGACCAAATTTTCTGTTCTTCATCTTCCAGTTTGCCTCTGATTCTTTCCAAACTCAGCAGCCCATGAAATGACACCTCTTCTTCCCTTGGAGACCACTACCCTTTGCCCTCTCCAGCCTGCAATAATGACAGTAATAAATAATCCCTTCTATTTATTTAGTTCTCTGAGGCTCAGAATGCTTTTCACACCCACTCTCTGGTTGGATTATCATGACCATGTTGTGAAGAACACAGGGCTAGTGCTGCCTCAGGATGGGAGAGGGTCAGAGCACTCACTCAAGGTCAACTGAAGACAGGAAGGTGTCCTGCGATTGGAACCTAGATCATCAGGATTATCTGCATTAGTATGAACGGCACCTTAATTCATTGTATTCTCAGGACCTGGTGTGAGTCATCCAGCCTCTCTGGGGCAGGGACAAATTCTTTTGGGTCATTGTGGTTCCAGTGACTATCCCAGTGTCCAGGTCCATAGTTAATGCTTTGTAACTGTCTATTTCATTAGTGAAAAATGAGAGGAGACCCATGGGACTTTGAATTTCTCTACATTATTATGGAGAAATTGGTCCCATCTACAAGTTATAAGTGAGAAATCTCCCAGGCGACCAGCTTTAATCAAGATGATTTTCAAAGGCTTGCTTTCATGTCACAAGTCTAGTTTGGGCAGAACCACTGATGTCCATCCAGAACTCAGGGCTTCTCTAGAGTGAACCCAGCTGTGTGAAGAAGGGTGAGGAGGCACCTTTCCAAGCTATGGCTGTCATTCTGCCTGTGTGTGTGTGTGTGTGTGGCCTGCAAAATTACTCACTTTATGTCAAGCAAAATGACACATGAGCATGAAAACTAGACTTTATTAAGGTAATCAAATAAAACCTAGAGAAAAGTTAATATACTACATTGAATGATATTAGAGAATTAATGGTCTACATGATAATAAGGCATAAATGGTAAACAGTTATATGAATGATTGTAATTAGTATTGCTTTAACAGAGCCAAATCAATTTTCAAGTTTCTCTCATTCTACTTTATTAGTTCTCCGGAATTGGCATGGCTAGAATCATAACTAAAGCTTTCCTTGAAACCACTTACCATCTTGTGTCTGAGATTGTTCAAAGGAAGATGGATGAAGCAACAACAGAAGACCATTTTGCTTCTAAAAGTTACTTCACACTGTACCTATTTCTGCCCCAAAGGGGTCCCTAGTCAGTTGCATGGACCTTTTTTCTTTCTTTCTAAGATTTTCTTTGAATCATCACAGGTGAGCAGATTACTAAAGTAAAAATTACAAGCATTTATGAAGAAGAGATTTCAAACTCTTCTCCAAAAAGATATTTCCTTCACCAGAATGTCAAACACACTGGTGAGGACAGGGTCCAGCTTAAGGGAGTCTTCCTAGACCTTCCCTTTTGATGAATAATCCCTTGACCATTGCTACACAGTTGCTTATGGCCAGGTTCCTGCACTTGAGGATAGAGCCAATAAAGGGTCTCTAGGCTGATGCTCTAACATCAGTGCCCTGGGGCTCATGGGAACACTCATACCAGTGCCATAGTCTGGTCAGTCATATGCTTCCTGTAGACCTGGAGGAACACCAGTTAAATTGGGCCCTGGCTCCTGGTTTATTACGCAGCTTACGTATATGATAGAGTTGTTCCTCTGGTGGGTAAAGAAAGGGCAGTGAAGTCCGGTGTGATGACGCCTTGGGCTGTAGGGAAGGTCTAGGACTGGATTGTAGACTCACATAGACATACAAGGTAGAAGTTAATATGACAGGCGTCTTCTGGAAAGAAATACATTTCTGTCTTTTCACTTCAAAATCTTATCCATGTCTCTGAGAACTCTTTCCAGAATTATTCAAGTACTTGGCTTGAATAAAAGCACCCCTGGTGGCAAAGTACATATGGTATGGAGATGCTAACTGAAAGGTCAGCAGTTCTAATACACCATGGGCTCTGAGGGAGAAAGGTGAACTGCCTTCTTCCATAAAGACCCAGTGGAGAGTCACTATGAATCAGAACTGACCTGATAGTAGTGAGTTTGCATTTTTGTTTTACTTGAATAAAGGGTTAGGTGGGTGGAAGGTTCTGGTTCCAGTCCCTCAATTGGTTCAAACTCAGAGAACCTACCTACAAAATACACTGAAGACCTTGCATAGCAATACTGTTTAATGAACACCTACGTGTGGGTGGCTGAGGCTGAAAATAGCATCAGCCCAGAGTGAGGGCAGGACTGGGGTTTTATAGTCTCTAGTCAACAGGAAATGTCACTTGATCTACATGTTACACAGGCCAACCTCTCTTCTGGCCTTCGGTATGTGTATCTACTGACCACTTTTTTCCCCTTCTTTTTCTTTCCCCTGTTACCTGTTGATTCACACTACTGAAATAAATAGCCTTGCTCCTTGGGTCTAGATTTTAGGAGAAGAGAGGTAATTCATCCCTTCAGGCTTTGAGGCCCAAGAGAAAGCTTACAATGAGTTTCCTATTGTTTGAGCTTCGAAATTTTTTTTGTTGGGTACTTTCCTGTTGCTTGCAACTCATAATATACTTATGTACAACAGAACAAATATTACAGAGTCCTGCACCATCTTCATTGCTATGTTTGAGCCTATTGTCACAACCATAGATTCAGTCCATTCATCAAGATCTTCTTCTTTTCTGCTGACCCTCTTCTCTGCCCAGCATGATATCTTCTCCAGGGTCTGCTCTTCTGCTAACATGTCCAAACATACAATATAAGTATAGAATAGCTCATGCCAAGCTTTTCGGTATGCGATTACTACCTCGTTAACATCAGCCTGCTCTCTGGAGCCTGGAGTTCCTTTACCAGGTTATGGAGAGAGGGTGGGGAGGGCACCAGAAAGGGTACCTTGCACAACACAGTCAGAGAAAGGTTATAAAAATTCAATTACTTTGCAGGCTAATGTTTTAGTGTGATAACTTCCATTCTCATTTCAAATGAAAATACCTGGTACTTTCTATTTTAAATTGGAGGAGTGTCTATTACTGGCAGAAAAGGAGACAGGGTTCCTTGGGTACCTATAAACCTTGTTTACATTTGTATAAAAGGAGAGTATTCGGGCACTTACTCCATGTCCTGTGAGGCTTTTCAGAGTGGGGAGAGGATGCTGAAAATGAGAATGAGGAAATGGCATTGTCATCAGTAGCCTTAAACCAGCCCTGTACTCTTGCATTGCCAGCTTGTGGCCCTCTCCCTGAGATGCACTGGGCCTTAGAGAGACGTGGTGGTGGCTGATGTTTTCACAGACCTTTTCCGTATCTGCAGAGAAACACAGACCACACAAACACCGGCACACAGTTTAAGGGAGAGTCTTCTGATAGGGGAGAGTCAGATAGTGCCGATGGAGAGAAGAATCCAAATAGGAACAAGATAAATAAGAAGGCCAAACAGAAAAATAAAAACCAAAACCCTCAACCAAAAATCCACATGATGCAACTTTGTTCTGCCTACAAACATAGAGATCAGTGGAAAATACGATGATGAGTCAGGAAAGCAGAATGCTTGATGTTGAAGCAAGAGAGAGTGGAGGAAGATGAGACTCTGGGAGCAACAGCCAGGAGACAAGAGTGGCTGGGGACAAGCAGGGACAGTACCCAGATGGTGAAGGAGGTAACACATGCCAGCAGCTGCCGTAGGATCCGCTGAGAGGCGCATAACCCTGTAGGGTAAACTAAGCCCAGGTACTGGCTCCTGCCAACCTAGCCATCCTGACCCACATAATACCCCATGCCCCACAGCTCCTGGTGGGGCTCTAAAGTCTAAGCTGCAAAAGTTGCCTCTGTAGGATAGGATTTCCTCCATGCAAATCTCCCCAAACTCACCTTTCACCACCTCTGCAGGAAAATTGCTGATTATGATGAAGAAATCCAGCATCTTTATGAGGAGATGGAACAACAAATCAAAAGTGAGAAGGAGCAGTTCCTCCTGAAAGTAAGTGTCCCTCCTCTAGGCTAGCTATATCAGCTATTTCACGAGATCCCCTTTGATTGCTCCCCACCCCAATTTAATAATAAGATGCACTCCCTTTGCAATATTGATTCCTTCTTACTGTTTTTCAAAGACTTTGTCACCTTCAATCTGACACATAATTTACTTGTTTGTTTTTATTAATTTTCTGTCTCCTCCTCCTAACATGTAAACTCCCCAAGAGCAGAGATCCTTGTCCTGAGGCAGGTTGAGGGATTCTGAGTTTTGAGAGGCCCAGATTCAAATCTAAGAAGGTGTACACATTGTAGTCATGGTGTTGGAGATTTCTTGTAGGTGGTATTGTCAAACGGCTCAACAGGTGCGGCATCCTGCATTTTGGGTGGACTTTGCTTCTTGGCATTTGGTGACAGCTCCTTTTAACTCTTCCCCAATTTTGAAGAGAGAGACATGGTAGAGGCAAGTCCTCAAAGCACCTCTGCTTAGAGCCCAATCTTCAGCGCCCCAAAAAGTCCTTGCCACAGCAACAGGGGGGCAGCCATGCCTTCAGTAGGGGGAAAGGCTGGGCAGAAAGTTTTCCCATCTTTGCCTCTAAGGAGCACCCTTGTTAGACTTTTTCCAAGACAGATTTGTTTATTGTCTTGGAAGCTCATGGGATATTCAGTACTCTTTGTCAGTACCATATTACTTCCCCTCTTAGACACCTAGAAAATGTAAGAGAGTAAAAGAAAATGTAAGACTCACTCCTCTTGCTGTTAGTTTTCTGGCTTTTCCTCAGCTTTTCAACAGCTCTGCTGTTGGTCTGGGGAGTCCAAGACTGCTGAAACTCTCCCCTTTCCATGAGAAACAGAGTTTCTTCTAGAAAATAATCCTAAAAGAAAGCTATAGAAAGCTCTGTACTATTTAGAATTAGCCCCTCAGTGAGTTTTTAGCAGCCAAATGCCATAATGGTTACCTGTGGTGGACAGCGTTTGGTGGAGCTTCCTGATTAAAATAAGCTTGGAAGCAGGAGTGGCATCCACTTCTGTAAATAGCTTGCCTCAGGAAACCCTGTGAACCTGGAGAAAGGATAAAGGTTATGCAAGTGTTAAGGACTTTGATTCATAAGGTCGTTATGAGTCCCATATGACTCAATGGCACTTAACAAAACAAGAACAGCCTTTGATCTCCAATAGTACCTCCCTCAAGACTTGCCTCTCAGCACTGAGCTTTTTTACTGAGCCTCCTCCGCCTTTTACCTCTTCTTAATACTGGTTGATTTGAATCTATTGTTAATTTTATGCTGGATTATGTTCACCACTGCTTCATTTCTATCACCTACATATTCAATCTGAGAGGGAATCTGAATGCTTTTCATTTAAAAAGCCAGTCCCAACTCCACCTCCCAGAGCCCTCTGAAGGCTCCTTGGTATCTCCAGAGCTTCCTCTTGTCTGGCCTTCACCTTCTATGCAGTTGACAGGGAACATACACTCCTCACCCTAAAAGCTTGAAATAATTTTCCGAGATGGTAGCCCTTTGCAAGAGGAGGGCTGCCCTCTTTATCCCACAGCTTCTATATGGATTGGACCTCACGCTGTGGGACGCGTTCTGCCCACACAGCCTGGGTCATGACTACAAGGTGTTGAAGCCCTGGTGTGTTGTGGGAATATCACTAAAGTCCTAAAATATGGGTGCTGCCACTGTTGGGTGAAAGATAGGCCCTTGTTCTCTGCTAGAAGGCTATAGAGGTTGGTTTAATGTGAGAGAAATGTCTCCAGCCCCGGTGCATCTGAGCTTCACCTGTCCCCTTTTGGCTTGGCAGGACACAGAGAGGTTCCAGGCGCTCAGTGAGGAGCTGCAACAGAAACTGTTATCTAAGGAGCAGGAACTGGAACAGCTCACCCAGAAGCAGAAAAGGGTATGTCAGCGTCCTCACAGCACCTGAGTCATCATCCCATCCTTTTCTCTGGCTCTTGTCTTTTTCCCCTGCCATTCACTTAGAGACTTTTTCTTTTTCTTTCTAATTCAAGAAGAACTATTTAGTGCTATAAACATGACCCCATGGTAAAGCTTTTTCATTCTCCAACACAAGAGGTTTAATTTGGGAAGGTTGCCCAACACTTCCCTATGAGAGGTGCAGACATTTTCATATGACTCTTCAGGAGTAAATAAAACACAGAAACTTTGGTGCCCCTCATCCTGTAAAAGAAAGGAGAGCAGTGCTGCAGTACAAGCAATCGTACCTGGTCACTGATATGTGTAGGGAGCCCACAGACAAGTCTCCTCCTTCCAGGGTTGTCATGGATACCCCCAGTTGAAAGAAGATTGATCATAAAAGGTTGAGTTGTTCATCTTCTCTCTTCCCACAAACCTGGATGAGGTTCCCTGGTCTCTTCTGTGACTGTTTCCAAATCCTAAAGATGGATGCAGAGGGCCAGGCTCCTTTCTGATGTGCCTGCGCCTCCAGAAGGCAGATTGAGTGGTTAGTGATGCAGGGCAGTGCCCAGTGTGGCTGGGGAACCACGATGATGTCCCACCTGAGCACACATCCTGCCCAGAGGCCTGCACTCCACAGGAAGGTCCCCTCGGGAAAGAGGAGCCAGGACTCCAGCGGCCACTGCTTTGTTTTTTCTGGTGCTGGAAGGAATTCAGCCCCGGACAGACCCAGGCACATTGCTTCCCTTTGAATGGAGAAGACTACTTTTAGCAACACATTACAATATGCTTGAAGACACCCCATGCTAAGACAAGAGTTGGTTCCACTCCTGCTGCTACTCAAGCTATGCACTTTGGTTTCCTTCATCCTGCAAGGTGATTGGAGCGCCTGGAGCTGCCAGCTGCCTGCTCATTCCACAGCCGCACCTTGCCTCTCCTGCTCTTCCTCATTTTATGCATTTAGTTCTTACCAATTAGATTTATCCCTCACATGAATGATTGCCACTCGATTTAATTACTGCACGCTTGCCTGATTACACAGGAGCCTCTTGAGAATCACACAAAATTCCTTGTTGTTACTTCCTCCTCCCCTTACTGACCGCATTCATTAGACTAAATTTATTATGATATATTTGCCTGAGTTTGATTCTTCCTCTGATGAGAGCATTGGAAACTCTGCAGAGCATAATTATCAGCTAAGAAAAGCTGAAGTTACCAAACTATAGGGTTCTTTAAGTTGCTTTAGGGACATGAGAAAGAGGCTATGTTCTCTTTGACCTGCTGTAACTGATTTCTCAGAATTCCCTATGTCTCTCGCTACCATGTGAAGTTTCTGCGGGTTAAAGTAATTAGGTTTATTTAGATGAGGAGATGGGAAGGAATAGATAAATTTACTATCAGTATTCGAAATGGAGAAGGATAACTTTCTGGTGATTGGTACTCATGTTCCATGCCCACTAAGGGAAAAAGAAGAAAAATAGAATTCAAAGGACAAGAAGGATTCAGGTTATTAGATCTCAATACTATGACTTTGGGAAGAGACACACATATGGGCTGTGGGCTTTTCTTTCCTTCTGGTCTTTATGAATGAGACCGCTCGCTCTGGACTGTTTAGTGGCCCTATGTGGAGACAGCTGAGCAACAAGATATGTTTAAAAAGTCTCTCCCTGGTGCAGAAGTTTGTATGTGAGCATTAAGGCCTGAGGGCAGTGAGGGACAAGTGTGAAGGCCCCTGCCCACCGTGAGGGAAAAGCTGGGTGAGACCAGGCTGGCCAGCCTGCTGATGGGGATTGCTTGTCCTTCTCTCTTCTCCCCTGTCCTCACAGCTGGAAGGCCAGTGTGTGGCCCTGCACAATGACAAGGATGAAACCAAAGCTGAGAATACCAAGCTGAAACTCACCAACCAGGAGCTGGCCCAGGAGCTGGAGCAGACCTCCCGGGAGTTGCAGCGTGCGCAGCAGCAGCTGGACAGTCTGCAGCAGGAGGCCTGCAAACTGCACCAGGAGAAGGAGATGTGAGTCTGGCCTTGGACCAGCCCCTGCTGTCCTTCATCCTGTGCGCCGCTCTCCTCCCTCACAGAAGGGAGACCCTATTTCTCAGCGATGACATGGAGGTTTGGGTTCATTGCTTTCAATCCTCTCCTAGGAGTCTAATCTTCTGGTGGCCTAGTGGTAAAGAGCTGCATCGCGAACCTGAAGGCACGGGGTTTGAATCCACCAGCTAGCTGCTCTGCAGGAGAAGGATGGACAATCTCCTTCTCTGCAAAAACCTGCTGGAAGGTTGGCTATGAATCAGTTTCAATGTAGTGACACAACAATGACGGAATACTACCAGGCAGGCCAGAGCGGTGCTGAGCATTGCGTAAGACTGACATGAAATATAGTCACTTATGTAAGTGCTCTAAAACTCCCAACCTCATAGCTGTTGAGTCAGTTCTAACTAAGGACAATCTTCCCTCAGGATTCTAAGACTGTAAATGTCAATGGGAAGAGTCTATTCTGCAATTAGCAGTTCAATATTTACCCTGCAATACCACCAGGGTTCTTTATAATGTGATTCTCAAAAAAATGTACTGCCTTCCACTCAGAACCAATACACAGCTTACCCTCGAGCAGGCTGTTGCTGGCTGTAAATCAATGGGAGAAGGTGGCCAGTCTTTCTCCTGTGGGACCTCTGGGGGGTTCAAACTTCCAAAGAAGCACTACCTTTGGGTTTAACAATCTTGCCCTGTCCTGGGCCAACCTCACCGTCTCTGACACACTTCACCCCATTACCATAGTCACTGTGTCAATTCACTCATCCAGGTCTTCTGTGCTGACCTTCTACCCTTCTAAGCATGGTGCTTTTTGTATGTTACTGCTGGTCAGATTAAAACAGACTAGGAAGAAGGATGGGCCATCCACTTTTGAAATGACAGGCCTTCAAAAACCCTATGAATAATAGAGCAAAACTTCCTAGAAAGACAATATTCAACCAAAAAATATAAATTGGCCTGCCAGTAAATGCTGAACTGAGCAGACATACCATATGTAACTGTTGTGGACTAGAAATATAAAGGGAAGACTTCTGAAAATCTGCATTTGATTTCAAGGGATCTATTAGAGTGTACTGGAATCTTCACCACTTTCTGCCCCTTTTATGTGTGTTCCTCTGATTAGACTATGTGGGTCCAGCTGGGAAAAGACACATCAAAAGAGCCTGGCTGGTCAGTAAACTGCTTCTGTTTCCAGCATTTGGGTTCAGCTTGCTCCTTCTCAAATCTCATTGCTGTCCAGTCAAGATCTACTCATAGTTGACTCTCTGTTGCATGTACGAGGCTGTAAGCTTCACAGGGGAAGATTGCCCATCTTCCTCTCAAGGATCCAGAAAGGGTGGGTTTTGGTTTTTTTTCTCTCTCTCTGTTCAGCGACATGGATTACAATTTTTGAGTTGTACAACTATTATCACTCTCCTTTTCTGAGTTGTTCTCCTCCCATTCATTAGCTTAAACTTTCTTGCCTTTAAGTTTTCTATCTAATCTCTTGAATTGTTATTTTCCATTTGGTTCCAACTGATATATCTAGAAAAAATTCAATGCTCAAGGCAAACATTCTTTAATGTACACACCAAACTGTTGTTTGGTTTCAAGAAGACTTCACATGATACTTGTAGTTTAAGGTTTAAAGGTTATTAAAGTATATTTCACCGTGCATGAGTAAAATCAGTTCCTCCTCATTGGGAGTATGTCAACAAGACACAGGCATTTAACTTTAGCGACAGAATTAAAGAGTCAGGTTCTTAAAATTCAATCAACTGCTAAAATCATCAAACATCTGAAGGCACAGGCATTAGAACAGCACATGGGAACAAACACCTAGAGCCGGAGTCTCAAATCACAGCATGAGTATTAAGATCTGTCTGAAGTCTTATCTTAATTAACCAAGTCAGAGGCACTGTCTCTAGAGGCAGGGAATTGAGGGAAGAAAGGAGGACTGGGAGGAAAGGACAAATATGATTCCAGATTTTCATGGCTTGGTTTTTAAAAAAATTTTTTTTATTATACTAGGTTTTTTACAAAATTCAAATACATGTTTTTCAGACCAGATTTTTCCAATTTTCCTCACCCCCCCCATCGAATTGTACAACCCCATGATTAATCCATCCACCCACACACACACACTCCTCATCCCTCAGCTGCCACCCTCCTCACCTTGGATTCTCATATTCCTTCTACAATATGCTTACAGTGTCATAGGTAGCCAGATAGCCTTCTGAAGTTCAGGAAATGTGTTCTGCCCAAGGAGAAGTGCTTCCAGATTCTTAGCTGAGTTTGTGCTCTGTAGAATAAATTCACAGGCCAACAGTACTGAGAGAGTCTCAATGCTTAAATCTACCTCCTTCCTTATGGGAAGCCAAACTTTATACCAAATATTATATGAAAACCCTTGTTCAGGAATTGAAGGAATTACAGATATATAAGTTAGGATTTCTCTTGTGGCAGATCCTAGAAAAAGAGCTGTTTGTTCCCTGCAAGACAGGAAACAGCAAGGGGCCCCCTACAGAGGGAGTG